CTCTCTTTCCCCCACATCTTCTCTTATTTCAAAAAACTTTCCCCCTCCCCCACGCAAATTTTCTCAGGAAAAAAAATTCCCCCCCCCCCCCCCCCCCCCTTGGTCAAAAACAAACGAAAACTCTGTTAATATCATATACAAAAATACGCATTAACGTAGCTGTAGTCATTTATTGGGAAAAACAAGTACGATAATTAAATAAAATCAATAGTGATTTCATACAAACTGAATAGAGAAGTACAATTATGAAAATCTCAAAAAAATATAAAGTTATTTTTGATGTCAATCAAATAAACTTATTTATTTTTCGTTATTCATATTAAGTTGGTGGTTTAAGAAGAAGTTCAAAATTGCCTACATTTTCAAAATATTGCTTAACTAATGGTTCATGTTCTGGATTTGTATAAACTTCTCTTGGTGGATGTTCATTATAAATTACATTACAAATAATTTTACAAACTTCATCAACAGTTTGAGAAGTTCGAGGAAACGGTCCAATAAATGGAATTTTATAATCAGCTAATGATTTTGGTACAGAATCACCAATTACATTCATGGCAAATTCAGTTTGTACTATACCAGGTAGAATTGTTGTGACATGAATTTTTTCACAACCTGGATCAGCTTGTAATTCCATACGAAGATTTGTTATTAATGAATTGAGAGTAGCTTTCGCAGCACTATATATTGAACGATATGTTGTATAAGGCACTCGTCCAAGAATTGAGGAAATATTTATTAAATGACCATACCCTTGTTGACGAAAATATGGTATAACTGTTTGCATTCCATATAATGCTGTTTTAACATTAACACGAATTATTGTATCAATATCATCATCAGTTAAATCAAGTACAGATCGTGATATACCTAAACCAACATTATTAATCCAACAAGAAATTGTATTAAATTTCAATTTCGTTTCTTGAAAAATTTTTTCAACATTTTCACGTTTTGTAACATCAGTTGGAATAACCAAAGTTGAACAATAATCATTTTTAACATTATTAGCTACTTGATTAAGTTCATTTTCACGTCGTGCAACAAGTACTATACCAATTTTTTTTAATTGATTTTTAGCATCATTTGATAAATAACGAGCCAGACCAGTACCAATTCCGGAACTTGCACCAATAATAATAATAACTTTATTTAATGACATCTGTAATTATTAAACAAGGTTTTTTTACAATTAATTCTTATTTAATCAAAAGTATACATCCTAGTTTATTATACACCTATGTCTTAATATTACAATAGTTGTTAAATGCTAAGTGTACATCATTAGATATATTTTCTTGAAGTCTACAGATTGAATAATATACATTATAAATGATTCTCGCAATCAGAAATATGATTAATTCGACAGATATACAAAGAATGAAAAACAAATCATGTTTATATGAAGAATCAGATACATAAAAATCACAAGAATAAATTCAATAGCATTGATAATTGAAGACAAACTCTTGGGATAAAACTTTTTTACTTTCTCGTTTCTTTCTCATGACTGTATTAGATTATAACATTTGAAATAAATCATGAAGTAGATCAAAGATTTTAAATATTAATTTCAATTAGAAAATTAAAATAATATTTTTTAAATGAAAATCTTCATAAATGATATAATCAACTTGAACGATTCTTATTTTTACGCATTCAATGATCGAAGTTTAATTACTAAGCTTTGGTAGCTGACTCGAATTTGCCCATGAGTAAAACTATTTTAACTCTAATTTCTATACATACAGATATTTTATCTGAAAAACTTAATGAATATGTGATTGAACTGTAAAAAAAAAATATTTTTGAATCCATTTTTTTTCGTTCGGACTTTTGCAATATACTATATATACGATATTTAGTGCACAATATTGAATTCAATAGCTAATACACCTTTTAAAAGAAAAGAATAGATCGTTGCTCTATTCATATAAAACAAAGACGTTTAAAATAAAAATGATTCATTCAAGAAAAAAGTTAATTGAAATTTTGTACACAATTTTAAGTTAACAATTTCTTTTTTTTTCCATTCTTGATCTCAGTAGGAATTCAATCGTAAAAGAAAAGATGTAATCATAATCGATGAAGTTAAAACATAAATATGAAATGTTATCGAATGTGGCAGCTGTTCTGTCAACAAGGACGACGAAGACGACAACAACGACAAAAATCAATTTTTGCAGTTACTTTTGGACTTTTTATTACTTCATTAATTGGCTTTTTTCTTTTATTTCAAATTTTAAATTCAGATGATATCAAAACAGCATATTCAGTTTCATTACAATCATCATTACCTAAGTGTCATTGTTCAAAATCATCTTTAGTAATTTTTAATCATGGTGAATGTTTTTTTGATCAGCCTGTTTGTTATCCAGGATTTATTGGTAACCAATGTGAAATAGAATTAAAAAATGAGGTATATCGACAAAAACAAAATTGTGATAAACATGAAGGCTTCTATAAGCACAGAAAGAAAAAACTGCTCATAGTATCAGTATACGAGAGCTAGCTAGAATCAGATTTTTTCGTGCTTTTCGAATACATGTTTAGAATTTCATTCGGGAATTATCATCAGATTTTTTTCAAAGGAATGGTTGTACAGAATATTACTTGGGTAAATTTTTTTTTTGTGTTTTAATTGAAATCTATCAAATTCAAAATGCGAAATAGTTTTCAACGACTGCATTTTGTTTGCTCTACAAAGCTGTCTGTGTACTTTTTCTGTTTTATTTTTCACGATAGATTTTGTATTTTGTAAAAGCAGTTTTTAACCAATGTCGATTTCCATAGAAACGAACACTTTACTGGAAATGCATATATGAGATTTTGCTTATTGTAATATCTCATTTTGTACAGAATTCATTAAGTAAAAGGATTAAAAAATTTTATAGAGAATTAATTCAAGAAATACAAATATCGTTTGTAGATTATTTAATAAATCTAAACAGAAAGAGAAGCGTGCGCTGCGTACAATGAAGTTATTAAAAGAAAATCAAGTAGTTTTGAAAGTTTTAGGATTTTTTTTCTTGTTTCTAAATAAAAAATTAGCTGCTTAAAAAAGAAAGAGTAGGAAAGGCAGGAATCTCACTAGCAGGGGTCATCCCCAAGATCCGGTCAGTTTTACCAAAAACCTTCCAATCGTGCCCTCCTGGGTCTTGGCGACCTTGGGATACCTCTGAGAAAAAGATTATGAGGATGAAACTATTGCTTTATACACATTGATTATGTTTCTGTTTAAGTTTAGTTTGAGTCGTTGAAAAATTCTATGAATATTTTTATTACAAAAAAATTAACTTAAAGAAAACTCGAATCTATTTCAGACTTATCGATCTCATTGTCCAGCAGATACAAATAAAATTCAATGGACTCTTTCTCTAATAAAACAAACTAAAAAAAAATGTTCACAATCAAAATTCGCACAACAAGAATGGAATACATCTTGTTTATTTCTATGTTTTTATCATCGTTTAACTGGTATAATTCAAATACCATCCATATTCTGGTATAAATCACTTAATAATGAACTTGATTATTGGAAAGAAAACCCAATGACAATTGATGATCGTCTTTATGAACATGTTGAAGGTTTTCAGGGTTATAAAAATGTTCCATTAAAAATAGATTCAATTGTTGAAATAGGTGCTGGTCCATTTACACAAGTACAATATTTATTAACACCATTTCGTTCAATTAAACAAATAACACTTATTGAACCAAATGCATTAGATTATATGAAATTAAACAATTGTGCATATCGTGGTGGTCATCTTCGTGGATATCCAATATCAATTATAGCTGAATCAATTGAAGTTATTATAAAAAAACGTCGTCAACAGAAATCGTATTTAAATTCAACAAAATATTATTCAGCTTTAATATCGATGAATGTTGTTGAACATGTTAATGATGCATTAGAATATTTTCGTGGTTTATATGATTTATTAGAAGATAATGGTTTACTTATATTTCATGAACGATGGTTTGATTATCCACAACAAGGTGATTGTGTACTTCAAAGTGTTGAACATTTACATCCAATACGAATAACAAAATGGGTTATTGATAAATTTCTTCATCAATTTAATACACTTTATGTTAATTTTAATCAAACAAGACGACAATTATATTCACCTTGTTTTGAACGAGGAGTTTATTTTATCGGACAAAAAAAATCAAATTGTATGTGAATTATGGTTTTGTTTTTCGTGTTATATATGTTATATTTGATCGATTATGTTTTCATAATTTATTCAACAAAATAACAACATTAATTCATTTTATCATACAATTTTCAACGGTAATCATCGTATGAATTCAATGATAGTCTCAGGTACTCTTCGAACATCGGGTAAAACAATATGAAATTCTGTGTGTTCGAATGGAAACAATCGTTCATCTCATCGTTATTAAAAACAAAAGTGTTTCTAAAGTTTTTTTTCTCAACAATAAACAAGATACTTCTGTTTTTTTTTTAAATTTTATTTATTATTCAAAGTCTAAAAGTGAATAAGATAAATAAATTTCTCTTGGTATCTTTTTTATCGAATACAAACAAATGAATCAATACGAGAATAAATGATCACAGTAGAACAGCTTAATGTTAATAAAATAACGGAAAAAAAAACGATTAATCAAAAAGAAAAAAAAAACTATTTTCTCATTTTCTGAATAAGAAGAAAAGCTCATCGAGATTCTTTAACAAATCAAAAGTCAAATATATATCTTTTTTTTTTCGTCGAATTTAATTATTTCGGTAAAGATACATTCGTATTATCATCAGTAGTTTTATTTGAATTATGATTTCGTTTCATTTCTGTTGCTCGAACATGTGCAAATAGACCAGATCCTCCAAGAACAAATAAATTCGATAACCACCAAAGCAATGTTTTTGTCTACAATTAAACACAAACGATTAATTCTATTATTTACATTTTTTTTTCCTCCATATTCTTACTTCTGAATAAACAACAACAGCAAGTAATGTTTGTACATAAGATTTGGCTGTACCAGAGACATTATGTGTTAATGGACTTGTCATTTTAATTTGATAGCCTGTTACATAGCCCATTGAAAACCCAAGTACACCAGCTACTGTCATTGCAAATACAAATGAAGTATTGAATAATTTTGGATAACTAAAAACAATTGGTAGTTCACCAAAAATAGCCATTAGAGGAAGAAATAGAATACAAGCATTAAAATTATTATATAAACATAAACGCCAAACATTTTTATCAACACATGGTAAACATCGAGTTGTATAGATAGCATTTAATGCTACAAATATACTTGATGCTACACCACAAAATGCACCGAATACTGAAAGAGTACCTAGAAAAAGAGAATGTATTTTAGTTTAATATATGTAACATTCAATGAGCTAAATAGAATAGTTTTACTTCATTAATAACGTCTATATTTTGAAACACTCATGTGTTTTAATATGATCGAAGTAAGTTGACTTCAAATATGATTCTTAGTTTTTTTTGCTGAAAAACGATTAGCATAATTCCTGCGAAATTATAATGTTAAATACGATTTTAGGACATAATTCTTCACGATAGACTTACTTAATCCTTCAGAAATGCAACAAGGAAATAGTTCATATCAGACCACTTTTTGATAATCCAGCCCAACTTAGAATGGCATTATTTAAACCATATTTCTTTTGAAAAAAAGGATTTCTAAACGATGGAACTTCATAATCATTGTAGTCCTTTAGTAAAATATTGTAAAAAATATATTATGATTACAATCACAAGTTGAATTACTTATTGAACTGAAAAAAAGGTCGGCAAAGATGAATTCGTGAGTACTCCAACTTTTTGAAGACTATCCTTTATTAACATAAGGTTTCCTGAGTAAAATGCCCACTAGTCAATTTCAAAGAGTCATATCGGTTACTATTTTTAAGTTACATAATTAAGACCGTTCCACTTCAGTGAAACTCATGTTACTTAATGCAGTTAATAGTGTATTCGACCTTGTGTACGTGTACATAAGGAATGTCATTGAGTCGAATAAATGGTCTGTTTTTGTTTATCGACTAAATGAAACTTTCAAAACATTCGTATAATAAAGCTTCCTGATTATTATTAGTTTTGACGTGCAAAATCTATGTAACAAGTTTTGACGAAAACTCAATATAAAATCAGATTTTTTTCTTATGTGAGAAATCTTCCTTGAAAAAAAAGATAAAGTTTTAGTCGAGTGGTACATTTCGAGCGTGAGCCTAAATTTTTATCTTTATCCTTCAAAACTCCTATTTGACCATGTTTCACAAAATTTCAAGTGAAATGAACGCTTCTTTTTTTTTTTCTTCAAAGTATTGATTTCCTTAAAGTCTTTCTTATTTCTCTATAATAAACTTCTTCTTGCAATATATTTGACTTCTAATATTTGATGATAATCTAGTAATGGTTAATGTTCAATATGAATCTAACTATCTTACCTAATGAATTTTCTTGATCAATACCCAGAAAAAATCCAGCAATGATAAGACAACAACAACCCACTGCTCTATACGATGTTCTATCACCAAGCATAACATACGTAAAAACCTTAAATAAAAAGAAAACTCTCAATCTATCATATTTTCAAATTTTTTCAGTTGATAACATACCACATTAGCAACAGTTGTTAATGATCGACCAACCATATAAAATGATACAGTTAAATATTTTAAAGTTAAATTATTAAATATTATCATAGCAACAAACATTAATGAAAGCGGAAGTACCTAAAGAAATATCTTTCTTTTTTTAAAATTACAGAAAAAAAACAACAACAAAATTCTTTTACTAACATCACGTGCAATTTTAAGATCTATTTTAAATGAAGGAAATGTTGAAAAAGCAGCTACATGTTTATTTAAATTTCCAAGTATAGCACAAATACCAACTGTTACAACACATTGATACCATGTTATAAAAAGTGGTGCATCTAACTATACACAACAAAATGATTAGAATTACATAAACTAATCGTCAAAAACAAAAAACAATTTTACTTTCACATCTTTTGAACTAAGTAAATATTTATTCAAAAATACCATAGAAATCGAAACACACCTATATAACAATTATATATATATAGGAAAAAAAACAACAAAGAAACAAATTAATTTCTTTCATACCAGTAGAGGAAAACAGCAATTGCTATTTGTACATAACGTTTATTGAGTGTATCGTCATTCGTTGTAGATGAAGTTTGTGACGATGATGGTGGTTCTTTAACAGGTATTTCAACATTGAGTTTATCAGTAGAATTATTTAATAATACGTAGGAACTATTACTCATTCTTATTGAATAAAATCTAGAACACAAAAAAAATTTTTCTCTTATTTAATATTATTATTCTTATTAATATCGTCGAGATAAAAATAACCAATCGATAGTAAACAACTCGATAATGTTAAACTAGATATAAGTCTTAATAATTCAATTCGACCAAAAAAATGACTTATATTATTAACAATCATAACTGTACCAAAATTAAAAATTGTTGAAAGAAATAATGAATATGTTAAACGTTTTTCAATTGAAAATTTTGATAAATGTTTACTTTTATATAGAAACCAATTAAAACCAATATTTGATAACCAAAATGTTAATTCAGTAAAATAAATTGATGATGATCCAAATATTCTATAGAAATTTCAATTGATTTTTATCTTTTAGTAATTTTCGACGGAGAAATTGTGAATTATACTGAAAGATTAATTATCCTAAACATTAGTAGAATAGCGCAGAAAAACAAAATAATATGACAGATTTCACTTATTCTTTATACTGAAAAAGTATTCCATGTCAAAGAAAATGATGCTGTGAAGGATATAAATCACTGCTATTATATTGTCATTTTCTGTAATAACGTAAAAAGGTAAAAGTCGTCGGAGAGAAACGATGGCAGTGTTTACTAGCGAACAAAATTGAATAATAGAATGCAGTGTTTTATGATAGTTTTCGACAATTGGAATGATCGTCTTGGGATAAGATAGTTCGTCTCACGAATTAAACGATGTCGTTTGTAATAAAAGAAAGTTTCAAATCGTGCATTAGATAAATACCTAGTTGTATGACAATCAAAGTTCAACAGGTCCTGCTGATAAAAAAAGCTTTGTAAGCGTAGCCTGTGTAAGGCTAAAATGTGGAACTCACATGTGTTATTATACTAATAGAAAATATGTCAAGTGAAAAATTTCTAGCAATTATTATTTTCTAACCATTGATTTAACTAGTAAATAAGCCTTTTTTACAGCATCATTATAACTAAAGAAGGTCTCAACACACTACTATATATCATAATATTATGGCAAATCAACACATCACTACCCATCATCATTGACATCTTCAATAAAAAAATTTATTTGCACAAAAATCCAAAACCGCACTGTTTTTGGACAAACAAAGTCTTGTTGTTATTGCTACGAAAAAAGGTCTGAAGAAGAAGTCTAAAGCTTGTTGTCCACGGTTGTTATGGAAACGTTTCCAATGATTGTTGATCTTCCTTTTGCTAGGAAGAACATATTCGTTGACATCTGATTGGCATTGCTACCAGAGAGAAATCGAAAAACCTCAGCTTAAAACTTATACCCGCTGTATTTTTCTACGAAAAATCTTCAATTTAAAAAAACGCTTCATCATTTACTGATAGACTGCAGTACATATTACTATGAAAACATTGTTGTTGATGTTAATCAATCATTACCTGAACTGAATATTTTATTTTTCAGTTCCTATTTAAAAAAATTTTCATAAGCAAGTAACGAAGTCATTGCCAAAAAGCTTCTTTCAGACTCCCACTGAAGAATTCTCTAAGGAGGTCTCCAACAGCGAGAAATTTTCGTTCGCTTCAAAAAAACATTTTTTTTTTACCTGTGTGCTCCTCTAGATGTTTTTTTAATGACGAGAGGTTGCGCGGACATCCTGGGTAATCATCCTGACTTCTATAATCATTAATAGTTAGCAAGAAAAATAAGAAAAATTTTATAATTTCTACTTGTCATGTTTTCAGTTTTCTGATATTAAAATCTTTCTAAATTTATTATCGCTTTTAAATTTTACCTGTTACTTCTACTGATAAAGCAAATGAATCTATAACGTCTAACGTACCACCTGAATAACTAATTTTAATCAAGCCAAAGCCAATATTTCACATCATTTAAGATAATTTGGACTTTATAATAAAAAAAAATTATTTTTCAAAATCTCAATTCTATTATTCTTACTTTTGCGACCATAGTCATTTTTATTAAACCGATCTTTGCAATTTAGCATCATATGTATAGATGATTTCATCAATAGATGCTATTTCTGGTATATGATTTTTTTTTGTATTAGTATTTGCACATATTATCTAAAACATGTTAAAGCTTGAATATAAAAATCTCTAGAAAAAAATAAGTACATATTTTTATCATTCACATATAAACACATAGTTGGAAGAAATATTAACAAAAAAAAAAAAAAACTATTGTGTATCATCTTCTATGGGTGACGAAAACGTATATAAATTATTAAGAATATCTTCTGTTAACTTAATTTGTTCCGTTTTAAGTTCATTTTTATGTTGATAATAAATTGTTTGTATAAGATCGAGTAATTCTTGATATTCAAGAGTATTTTTAGAATTTGGTTTACATATATAAATATGATTTTTATTTAATATAAAAAATTTTCCAATATTTATTTGTGAACTTTCAGATGGTACAACAACAGTTTGATAACGTAATGAAAATGTTGTTTTTTCATTTTCAGCAAAACTTAAAATTTTTATATTATCATATGTTTTAAGTATTTCAAGAAATTTTTCATGTAAATTAAGAAGATTTTTACTATTCGGTTGTAATTCTTCAATTTCAACTGTTGGTCGAACAATAAATGCATGACGAATACCAAACGATGCTAATAAAAAGAAAAACAATCAAATGAGAATTCTTTTAGAAATAACGTGAAAAACTTAATTAAAATTAAACTCAATCTTTCGTTGCTTAGTGAAATATATATCATCGACTGTAAGCACAATATTTCTGCTAAAGCTTTAATAATACGAAAAAGTCTCACAAAGGAATTCATTTAACTGATAATCTCCGTTGAAGCTGATAGGTAGAACTCATAGCGTAGGTAAAAATCTTGAAAGAGTTCGTGCCGTTAGACCTTTTTTGCTCGAGTTATGGTCATTTTATTGATCTTTAGGTCTATTGCAGGATATCACGAGAAAACTCGCAGCAATAAGGCTAGAAAAATGACCATAGGTCCGAGAAGGAAATGAGTTACAATAGATTTTTGTAGTCTTTTAACTCTCCTATGGCCACTTTTGAAATAGTAGCTTGGTTTCCATCTGGAATCTGTACGAATTTCAACTTAATTATTAAATAGACGTAGCTGAAAGTACCTTCAAGTGGCATAGTAACTGTAGTGAGTCTCCCATACAATATATCATACACAAGAAGACTCAAGGAAAAAACAATTTATGCAAATATTGTTTATTTATCTCTTTTTTTCATATTCTTAAAATATTTCTCAGCATGTGTCACAAATGATTTTCTGAAAATCTGGACAAAAAGAAATAAGACATTTAGCACAACGAGTAGCAACTTTCCTATCACGTTCTCATTGCAATGTGTTACACAAAAACGATAACCACGAAATGAGCTTCATAGCCTGGGGTTCAGATGAACCTTGGGCGGTGAAGAAACGTTTACATGCATTTTGAGCTATTATGGGTGTACAATATAAAAAGTAAAGTTATCAGATGCCCACGTGAACTTCTGAGGATGATATAGGGGTTGAAAAAAACATGCTTTAAAACTTGACATTAGAATCAAGTAAATTTTCCTTAGCAAGATCTATCTTACTTACCAATTTTTTGATTTAGGATATAAGCGAAATATATTCAATGATTTTTGAACGAAGTTATTAAGACCTTCGATGACAAGGCAATCTTATTGAAGCCTTTTTTTTGTGTTTAGAAATCCATTAGTAGCGAACAATATTCTATGATGATGCTAAGAAAAATGGTTTCTAAGATAAAGAAAAAGAAACAATTTGTGTTTCCTTGTGTAAAGACTAATTTGATATCAATTTGTAAAAAAATTGGTTTGAGAGAGAGAGAAAAGAGAAAATGGTGAGACTATGGAGGGATAGAATCTAAACATGATGAGAGAAGAAGTAAACGATAGGCTAATTAAGGATACATAGAGTGACAAGAAAAGATTAAAACGTCATGCATAAACAATCCATGAAACCAAGGAGTGAAAATAGACAATAACAACACGTCAAAAAATAAGCCGAGAATATAACACAATCCTCTGCTATATTTAATCTTTCATAACACTGAACATTATATGTTATCTATATTAGATATTCGATACGATACTATTTATGAATGCTACAATATATTCAAGCTTATAAATATTTAAAAATGCAAACAACTTCATATTTCGTTATTTCTGAAAGATGTAAAGTTTAATCGTGGCAGATAAAATCTTATCATTCAAAGATAAAGAAACATTGTCTTTACAAAAATGATTATTCTTTCTAGAATATTTTCAAGTACACACACTATCTGTATAAAATAATTTACCCTTTATTCTTTAGATAATCCATATAAATAAAAATGTTTTATTATATAGTAAATAATTCTTTTTACATATATCAAATAATAATATAAAAAAATAAATTGTATTTTAATTTAATGCGTTATTTTCACATTAAATTTAATAATGATTTATGAATTTTTCATTATTTTTTTTTCTATGATTATCGAGTATTGAACTCTATCAAACGTATTCTACATAAAAATTGGATAAATAGGTATTAAGAAAAAGGTTTCGGAAAAACCAAACACGATAGTCTCTACATTTCAGAAGGCTGTATGAAAATTAAGTGTTGAAAGCACAAAATTTTGGATAAAATAAAAGGTTGACGCATTTTCTACAACCTTTCCATACAAAATGACCTGATATTTTGTACTCTTTGATATAGTACCATTAATAGAACTAATTTTTCACGTAGTCTTCTAGGGTCTGAAAGTTACTATTTTTTTGCTTTTTCAGAAACCCTCTTCTTATAATTCAACTATGAAATTTCGTTATAGAATAAATTTGATAGACAATTTTATTGGGTATTTAAATTAAATGCTCGGTATTACAGAATACAAAAAGAAAATAACCCGAAACACATTATTCTGATATTTTTTCAACTAATACTGCACATTTACCCATATGAGAGATTCTATTTCAACTGAAAGATTACTCAAAAAAAAAAAATTAGATAAATAATTAATATTAACAAACCTAATTCAGCACCAAAATGTGGTACTGAAAAGAAAACACAAGCACGAGTATTTGATGTTATATCTTTATTTTCTTCATTTGTTAAAATATATTTTGTTAATAAACCACCCATTGAATGTGTAATCTTGAAATGCAATTTAAAAAAAAAAATAATTAACAAAAAAAAAAAATGTTATATGAAAATTTTACCCATATAATTGGTCGTTTTCCAACTCCAGCTTGTTTTAATTGTTCAGCAATTTCTTTAGCTCGATCATACATTGATCGTCGCATAATATTTCTTGGTAAGGAACGAAGTTGCCATTCCGAAACAATTGATTCATAATCAATGGCTAACATACGTATATGTGATGTTGAAATATCTTTACTTAACCAATCTTTTGGCCAACATAATGATGGTTGATTTTCATTAAATATTTGAACAGGAGGAGATAAATCAATTTTTGATTTATTCCAATTTGTTTCTTCACCAACGTCTAATATTTCATCATTTTCTTCTTCAGAAACTTCATCTGTTATTGGTAATTTTTTACTTTCTGGTAGTTGTTCAATTTCTGCATGTGCCGATTCTTGTCGCCATGTTTTAAAAGCTGAACCAGCTAAACCATGAAGCTAATTTAAAAAAAATATATATATATAGATATGTGTACAATATATAAATAACTTACAAAAATAATATCAACAATTGGTTCTTGATGCCAACGTACATTAGGATCCATTTGTTGAATATTATACATTGTTGGACTGAATAGAATAACCTTGAGAAAGAAAAAAGAAATTGACTTAATGAAATAAGAATAATACTTTTTATTTTGGTCATTACTGACTGTCGAGGCTAAATATCAAAAGTGATTACTCTTCTTTGTGATAGTTACCATCTGACATAGAGTTCTTCTCGCTATATTTACTTGACTTTCCTCGATATACATTCTACCTATCATCAGAAATCATTGCATAGATAAACTGAAGCAGCAGATGTATTATCATACAAGGAAATATAAATACTGTCCGACAGCTGATTTCGATGAATTAACTCCAGATTAGTCTTAAACTATATAATATTGAGAATGAAACACATTACCTTTAAAGAGATATGATGGATAACGTAAAGATTTAACTATAACTATTGAGAGAATTTTAATAGACTCACTTTATCACCATATACTTGATCATTAATCCAAGATGGAATAGACGTTGATATCGATTGTTCTTTTATTTTTATATTATTTTTATAGATTTTTTGATTATCTGTATGTATTGAATGACTTGTATCAATATCTGGTACAACAATTTTCTTTTCAATATGATCATCAATAGTTTTATTATTATGATTTTCATCGTCTAGATCATCTTCATCAGAAACTGGTCTTGTATACCATATACGACGTAGAATTTTATTGACAATATTACTTTGTTTTGATAGTGATTGATTTGCATGTAGTGTTTCTTTTTTTTCTTCTGCTTTTTGTTCCGCTTCAATTAATTCACGATTACTAATTTCTGATGGTAAATGTAACGTTTTCATGTTTTTATTAAGAGACATTTTTTCTTCATTTATTGACGTACTAGAAAAAAAAATTAGGTTTTTGTTTTCGAATATAATTTCTTATGACATAAGATATGAGTTTAGTGGTGTCTTTTCGTTTTATCTACATAAATTATTTTTTCTGAATGATTTCAGATTTTTATTGAAAAAATTTCACCTTGGACAGAAATAAATTAAATAGGAATGAAACTATTGAATATTTTTCTAACAAGCGTTATCATTTATTAAAAAGATCATAAAAACATTTTCGATTAGCGGTATAAATATTCTCTCTCGTTGGATATGTAAAAATTTAAGAAAAACTGTAGATTGTTACTCGTTTTTCTCAAACTTAATTCTTCGTAGAAAAATCGATATGAAACTTTTCTCGTTTCGAGAAATATTGTTTTGGTGATTTACATTTCGATGGAATAGCAGAGCCATTTATCTCGTCATTGTGATTCTAGCATCTAATGGAAGACAGAATCTCGACTCGTCAAGATCTATCTGCTCTAAAAGTTTCAAATTTTTCTGATGAGTCTGTTTCCAGAAATTCTGGAAACAGACTTTCACGACAACAACAAAAAAAGACTTGCTTATCATTATATGAATATGTCTATAAGATTAGTAAAAAGATTGAATTAATATTTTATTGTTATTATCTTATGTTCTTATTTCTATGATTACAATAACTTTCTCTAACACAAAGTTATATTTGTTTTCTTTTTGTCATAAAATACTATTGAATAAATAATCTACGTACTTGTCATGTATTGCACGATCAAGATTTGCTAAAATAGTTGAAGCCAATAAAGAATAAATAATATTATTTTTATCCAATGCCATATCATGAAGAATTCTTACCCAACCTATAAGTAGTATAATACAATTATAATTATTTTAAACAGAACAAAAAAAATATTATTTTTTTCAAACCAACGGCATAGAATGCATCATGTGTTTGTTGATCTCGACTAAGTAATAGAAGAATTTTTCCAAGAAATCTTACAAATGGTATATTTTCTTTTCGTTTTTCATATAAATATTTTAATATTTGTAAACCATTTAAATGAATAACGTCAAGTGGATAACGATCAGCATAACCACGAAGTGCATAAAGAAACATTGAGTAAAGTTCAAGATTTGATCGATAACGTTTTATTGCTTTTGATGATATATCAGCATGTTCAGCTTCAAAATGTTGAACAAGATCGAATACAGTTCGAGAATGAACGTCATCCATATAGGATTTTAACTATTCAATAAACATGTAATAAACATTACAAAGAAATTTATGAGAAAAAGTCGTCAAATGATAAATCGTTTTGAATTGAGACTATATTTAATTGATAGAGTCGAGTGAGTAGATATCAAAATATCTATGACAAAGCGCCTATATTTTTGAAAAACTCATATTTCGGAATAATGTAGGCAACGTTTCAAATAAAAAATATAACTAATCATTCTGGAGTATTTATCTACTCATTTGAATCTACCGATTGAATATATGCCCAATTTAGAGGCGATTTTATTACTTTGAAGCTTTCCTTTGTCAGTGAAACAAAGAAAACACGAGAAGAATTCGAACTTATGCGTTACTCAAACAGAGTTATGACTGGTTTTACAGTCACTAGAGTATCCTACAAATGTCAGCTTAAGACAATTCGATTCTATGGCTTACCTTTTGATATACAGTACTGGACAAAAATATAAGAACACTTTATTTTTGATTTTTTTCTACGATGCTAAATAGCTAGCTCAAATCCAAATAGTGATTCTGAAAGCCAATGAAGTTTCCTATTTAATGCACTCTACAGCAGAGTTTCATGAGTGAATCACAGTCGAAAGATTTCCAGAAAACTAAAAACCGTGTTTTTCAAGTCCTATAAGACGTNAGACGATAATTAAAATATATATGCATTTGACATCTTATATATGAATGATCATCTAAGATTGAATCATGCACTGCCATAAAAGGAAACTATCAGCTGTTAATTATTGTTTTCCTCATATCTTATATCTCCCGAATGGTGCCGAATTTTGAAAAACGGATTTCCGATGTGCACTCGTCACGTTCTCACGATTTCGTCAAGCTTTTTTTCGACTGAAAATGATGTTTAGGTACTGAGAACGAGTGGCTAACTCCAATCATGACTCATGCATCGAGCGGATGAAGAAGAAGAAGAAGAAGAATTTCCCATGGCAACTAAGCTAGTGAAAAGCAATAAGTCGGCAAACTGCACTACGTGCAGTCAGCCGACTTAATGAGTAGCCATAAAGAACTTTTTACAAGTGTCAAAACCAATGAATTCTATATTCAAAATCTCTCCAAAAAAATCTTATAAATGTTTTATGTCTAATATTATTTTCAATGCATGTAAAAGTCTTCAGATCAGATTTATTTTTCTTTTGAATTACTATTAAATATTTACATCTCTTCTATTTCATAATATAGAAACCAGAATAGTACATTAAAATATAATATTTTGTAAATCATCTTACATTCAATGTTGTTTTATCAATATTTCTATAAATAATTGGTGAACAACCACACCAATCTACAACATTTTTATGTTGACATTTACATCCACGTTCTCGATTCCAATGTACAAGACGTAAATTATTTCGAATATATGTATCACAATAGATACTATTACTTAATAGAGTATGAAAGAAACTCTAAAAGAAAAAGCAAAACCTTATTTTTTTATATTTATATTTTTGTCATATGTCAAACAAACCTCGCAAGGTAATAACGAATAATTGAATGTATGTCGAAGACCATTTACAAGTTCATCATCACCGTATGTTATATAATATACAAATTCACGATTTAATATATACCAATCAGATCCACCATCATAAATAATATCTAGAAATTTATATATATATATATATATATATATTTTCTAATTAAATAAATTAATACTTTCAATTAACGATCTTGGTCCAATTCGATACATATAATCATTACAATGAATAAATGTATGAAAAAGTCCTTGAGATTTAATAAATCTTTAATTGAAAATAATAAATAATAAAATTTATATTATAAATATAAATAAACATACTTATATGGTTCTCGACTATGTGAACGAAGAAAATTATATGATGTATACATTGATAGAAAAGTTGTCAAAACTTGTATAGGTCTATTATAAATAATTAACAATAGTTTTATTAATTATTGAAAAAAAGAAGTTAATTTACTTTAATGGAAAATCAGTTTCACTTAAATTAAGTACAAAAGAAAAATTCCATTTTAATTCATCAAAGATTTGTTTAAATGCTTCTAAATGTGCAGTTAATAATGTTGATGCACCCCATGTTGTTGGATAACGTTTATTCGTTAAATGAATATTTGAAATTCTTTTTGATAATAATAATAATTCTTGATATAAATAATCTTCACGCTGTGCTAACACAAAATTAATTGTATTTTTATATGATAAAAAAAAAGAAACAAATTTTTTTTTTCTATAAATACATACACTATCAACATGTATTAAATAATAATGCTGTCGTACATAAATAGCTCGTAATAATCGTTTGATTTGTCGAAGATTTTTTCGACCACCAACTGTTAGAAAGAAAACAATAGTTGTTTGATTACTATTTTGTGGTTGACGATGTTTTTCAAGATGATTTCCAAACTCAATAAAACCAGTTCGATATATTGTAGTAGAATTTTCTCTTAAATTATCATTATTGAATATTATTTCTGTACATTTATGATTCGGTGTTATTAAACGATATTGATTATTAAATGTTGATAAACAATAACATTCACCAGTAAATTCATTATATTCTATTAAAAAGAAATACATTTTGATAGTTTGATATAATGATAAGAACAATCTTATTGCAATACTCATTGGATATATGTCAATTGAAAAAATCTATTTGAAAGTTTCGTCAAGTCATACACAGTTTTCAATTATGAACGCTTTTATATGCATCAGGTCTTTTTACATATTTAACACGAGAAACCTGTTTGAGCAACTCCTATGGGATTACAATGTGAAACAGGATGTAGATACTAGTGCTAATCATAAGGAGATAATTTTTTACTCTTTGTATTTTGAGACACATTTCTTCACTATGCTTTTACTTAATCCTTCAGATATGCAATAAGTACAGGGCTTATCAAAATTATAGACCCCCTTTTGTCGTTGAGACTTTTCAATGAAGACGAATAGCTAGATCAAATCTAAATAGTGATTTCGATAGCCCTTGAAGTTCTCTATCGAAAACAGTATAGATCAAAATCCTCGAAAAAACTTTCCTTAGAAAGTTTTACAAAAAACCGAAGTGCTCCAAAATCAAGTACCAGAGGCACTTGAGA